GAGAAAAATCTACAAGCCACATCAATGTCTTCACAAATGCCACAAATTTCTAACTGGTTCATATAAAAGACTTGCTGTATATACCACCTGCTAAACCACAGGAGAGCTGAGACTGCTACACAATTTTGATTTGCACAAGAAAGCAATAACTTATTTTGAAACGCTGGGTATTTTCTATCACAAAGTTTTACAAGGAAGATATCTATTTTTCAGATATTCAAAGATATGACTTTATATCAATGCATAGTAGGGAAGTGTGCAAGCAGTTGTTGACTGCCTCCTCCTTCCCCTCCAAGCAGAGAAATGTCACATTGCAAAGCTTGCATATAGAGTGCAAAAGAACTCCACAGGCACACGCAACTGACATTTAAGATTCATTCCTCAAATGTTCCGAAACAGGCTCCCTGTTTCTGTAATAGCTTGGACCTTCCTTGTCCTCATTCCTACATTTCCTGCACTCTGGTTTGCCCCAAACCCCTAAATCCCAACCTCCAGAAGTCTCCCTCTCTTTTCCTGGGGAATAAAACTATCCCATACTGTTTATCAACAATATCTACATGAACCTCTCATTTCAGATCCTGCATCTTAGCTCCTGGCAGAGCCTCACTGCATCTTTTCACTGTCTATTTGACTTGTCTGCATTCCTACCCTGTACCTTTCTTCCTCAAGAATGCTAGTGCCTTCCATATACAAAGAGCTCAGCTGGGGACCCACTATTCCTACCTGCAAGCGAACACACAGCTGTATTTCCCTAATTGATAAATTTGAGCTTCCCAAGAAGAGGAAATAAACTCTGCCTGCAGTGCAGCAGCCACAGTACATGCTCCTGGCTCAGCGATCCTCACACTGCAAAGGAGGCGCAGAAGCGATGGGCGGTACGTCTTGCCCAGCCAACACTCACTGCAATACATGCACTGTAAGAACCAGACCCACAGCTTTGATCTCTTAAGACTTTCATTTCCTTGACCCAATTGCCTAGAAATAAGCGAGGACTTTTAGAGGGAGCTGGAGAGAAAGAAAACGGAAGAGGCAAAGACCAGAAGGAATATTCCCGTGCATTCCTGCCTCCCTGGTCTGTTTGCCATCTTTATGTAACGTAAGACAAATACAGAGTGGCCTCCTGCCAACTAGAGAAATGTTGCTTGAACACAACAGTCTTCCAAAGGTCCTGTCAAAATGCAGCTGTGAGGCAGATGTGAATACACCCAGTGTATCCTACAGTTCTTTCAACCTTTTCCTTGTCCAGTCAATGAAATTTCACTGAGTCATGTGGGAGATGTCCTCCCTTCCCAGCCATCCACTGCAACACAGCACCAGCACACATAAGCACCTGGAAGCTGGTGTTCAAGGCCATACTCGGGGCACATCCTCCCTGGCTCCTGTGCAGCCTTTTTACAGCTCCTGGACCTGGCAGAAGATGCAAATAGCTGGGGAGAGACAGAAAGTTTGTTCACCTATGATTCCAAATTAGAAGAGAAACACAATTATGTTCTGGGAATGAGGACATTTGAACTGCAGTAATTCAAAACACATGAAATTAGTGGATGTTTTACATGAGGTGTGAGACCTGACTGGTTTCACTAGTGTACCCTTGAAATATAGCCAAAAGTAGAAGGACTTTCCAGGTAAGAAACTGAAGGAAGAGTTCTGTAACTGACATGGTCCTGCAGAAATCTATCCAGAGCTCACTCTGGCATAGGTGTCCATATAAATCACACCTCTTCAGGGAACCAAAACCGAGCAGCATAAAGGTTTAAAGATTAAAGGCTTATTCTGGAGATTGGAGTTTTTCCTGGTGCAGTCACCAGCCCAAATTCACGTCTCAACATCTCAGTTTTATCTTACAACTGGCAATCATCAGTGCTCAACAGCAGGCAGCACAAAGCATTGTGCCCAGCTCTAATCGTGGGTTTTTTTCTCTTTTTTTTTTTCAGTGAACAGCCCCAGCTCTGCCACAAAGAAGATTCTGCATTTCTACCTGATGTTCCCCATTTCTAGCAAAAAAATCATTGTAAAATGTGACCCCCTCACCCTATTCCTAAAATTTTTCACATGTAAAATGTAGTCCTTCCTCTAGAAATTTAATACTTCAGAAGCACTACTTTAATAAATAATGTGAAATTTGAAGCATGCTCTCCTGAGTGAATCTCACTGTTACAAACATCAACAGAGCACTTAGTTCCAGTTTTAGCTACTCTAGCCCTAAAAGATGCCTAACACAACGCCATCACCAAGCTCACTGATCTATCTTCTGTGCCCGTTCTTAAGCCAATGGGGAGACATGGCAAGCGCACACATGCTCTAACTTCTGTTTCACAACCCTGGGAAGCTTGAAGGTAGGACAAGGAGCCAGACCACAGAAGCAGCTGCTTCCCAGTGGAGCAATTCCAACATGGCTGCTCTTTCCCAGAAAGGAGGGAGAATGGAGAAGGGCAAAAAGTCAGAAGGGAATTTCCTCTGCACTGGAACTTTCTCTCCATGAAGAGGTATACAAACCCATAGCCTACAGCCACAATTCACAGGACCTGGCAAGTTTGCTTTATACAAGCAGCAACCATCTTTTTAAGTTTCAATGACAATCTAACATTGGTATAAAAACTAGGTATCTTTCAGGTTTTATGGAAGCTTTGTGTTTGCAAATTGATCTTTTATAGAGTCTTGCTGAATTGTGATTCACATTTATTTTAGCAGACATTCAAAAAATGGTTGCACCTACAAATTACTGTATTTTCTAGGTTGGCATCTCAAATGTCGACTACTTAAGGCATTTTATGAAATTTTTAAGATGTGCAAACATTGTACACAATGTCTGAAGACACACAAGCCCTCTGAAATCTATGCTTCTATATAAATATGCTTGTAGATACTTAAATATTGCAGTCATAAACTTATTTTCTCTTATGTTGCATGTGTCATGAACACTTGCCTACATGAACAACAAGAATGCCAAAAAATATCCTAAGTCTGGCCAGAAGTGCCGTATTTATACTTGAATTAAAATGAATTCCATGTGCAAGCTAAAGTAGCACTCCATCAATAAAAAATTTCAACCACTGTCTGTGGTATGGCACTGAGGTATCTCTTTTCAGCTTTCCTGACATGAGGGATTTCTTGCTTTACATAGGTAAGCATCAACAGAGCACTATTTTAAGTATATCTTCAAGTACTTTGTTTAATTTATATCTAATTTAAAGAACTATTGGGAGACTCAGGTATGCATGAATACATAAATAAGTATATATTTGAATTTTCATAACAAAACTTTTTCATATGATGGAATTTTGTATTACAAACACTTCTTAACAGGTACTCACAATTCAATCAAAAATGCTCCCCTTTCTTTTTCCAGTTTTAAGCCATTAAGTAATCTTGCTTGTTGACAGTTGGAACAAAATATAGTCGTTTCTAAAACAGAGGAGCAGGAAAAATATATTTTCCTATTTGCCATTCTCAATCTTTACTCAGAATGGTTTAATCCAAATGTAGATCTGTCTCTATTGAATCAAATCCAATACTAAAATCTAAACATAACTATACAAAAGATCTAGAGAGGAAAGGGAGTTTGAGAATTATGTAACCAGGAGAGACATGCCTTGCTGATAAAGAGGGTGGTTCCCTTTATCCCCTTTATCCCATTTCATGGGCCAATGAAAAGATTTCTGGAAGTTTGTCAACAGTAATGAATTTCAAGTATCCTCTTCATGAGGACTTCAGGTCTTTACTAAAAAAGTAGCAGAGTTATTTCTCTGAGCTCTCAGAAAAGCACCAAGAGGTGGTCCACAGGACTGACAGAAGCAAGCTATTAGTAGACTGAAAGATTTGAAAACACCACCTTGAACTGTAATTACATGCAAATAGAAACAATTGTATCAGGCAAAATATATATATAGTGTGTTTAGCATTAGAGGATAGCTGAGGAAGTTACATGCTGAACGTTACACTGGATTACATTTACAAAGGGTGATTTAAACATCTCCAAAATTACAACAATACAGAGGTCCAAGCCAGAAAAGAATGCGTAAAGAATTGTAGAAAGACTTGTGTTATCCACTTTTTCTGTGTCTCTTCGGCTACAACCACTAGCACAGGTCCCACATACATGAAATGAGAACAAGTACTGAAAACTGTTTAAAATACTGAGTTACTGTTATACGATGGTTAAAGGACTGAAAGGAGCCAAAGCTTTGCTTATTCTTCACAAGTAATTCTGCTGTACCAAATGCCAGCACCATCATTTTATCAGTCGGATGTGTATACTCTGTAGCTGTACTCAAACAAACAAATAAACCAGTGCTTTTACTAGTAACTTATGGTACATAAATTCCAGTACAAACTTGTAAAGGAATTTCTCCTGAGGGAAAAACATAATTAGTTTAGAGTTTTCCAGAACAGTATTGGGTTGTCGTCTTTTTCACGTGGTTCAGACATACATATTCAAACATCTATATTCATCAGTTCCAAAAGATTTTCAACAAGTCTGTGTAGAGAACCTTTTTTGTTGTTTTAGAAGATGCCTGTTTATCATATATTTTTTCGCCCACTAACAGCATCTATCCAGACACAAGACTACGTTAGAATTACTTCAGTCACGCATTAATCATAGCTGATGAAAGACTTTAGGCAAGTATTCAGTTTTAATAAAAACTCTTGAAAGTTATTATCCACATAAAGAAATATCTTGGAAAGTTTCACCCAAAAAGCAAAACAGAAACCCAATAATTAATGAAGAAATTATACCATCTTAAGTTTTAAAGAACACTGAACAGATGGTTTAATCAAGGGTCTATAGAAGCCAAAAACAGCAGATTAAAAAATGCAGGAGAAACGAGTGTGTGATAGGAAAGTCCACAGTTCCAGGATTTGAACACACTACACAGCAGGGCTATTCAAAAATATATGAAAGGTTAAAAGGATGAGGAGCTGGTCTGGTGTCCTCAGATGTAGAAGGTAAAGAATAGCACTTTTTTAAAAAATAAAATATAGCAACGCTTCCAATTTACCTTTAAATATTTTGCAAGTTTCTGAATTTCCCAGTATTCTGATGGCAAATCAGTGTTTCCTTCCTGATGACGTACAGGCTGTTCTTCATCTTCCTCAGTCTCTGAAGAGCTTTCACTAACTTCTTCAAACCTGCCTGACGTTTTACTAAAAATAAATAAACAGCATTGCTCAATTTAAACAGCTACAAACTAATATGAACAAGCACATTTTAAACAGGCACAACAACACTGCCTAATAACAGAATTAGAAAAATATAACTGACATTATCAAACACTAAGTATAGTGATAATTACTGTAGATACAGAAAATAAAAATAAAAAACTGAAGGAGAAAAATAAGTAGCCCATACCATTTTGAAACTGACTGCATTTTAACAGATTCAGAAGAAATGCCACTGGCTTTCTTTTTGATCTTCAGAGACACAGTACTACTTCTTCCTTCTTCAGTATCTTTTTTTGCAGCCTTGTCACTAAAATATCTGGGTTTATTTTTAAAAAAAAATTATTATATATACATAGAACCAAAAAGCTATGGTTGGACAACTATCAGTACATATGAGCTTATGAATCTGCCCAATAAACTACATGAAGAAGAAAGTATGCTGTGTCTTACATGATTAATTTTGCTTTAATAAAACAGTAGAATATTAGAAAATTATATTATGCTGGCCTGTATGTGATACAATAACAATGAGTATATACAGTTAGACCACAGGTTCATCTGTCCTAGGATACCAACTCCAACCATGACCAATAGCAGCTATCTAGGTAACAGCAGGAGAACAACAGAAGAACAAAAAAAGTTTTTTTCCAGAATATTTTTCAGCAAATTGTGATTCAGGGCACTTCTGACCATCCTTGCATTAACACTTTTGGATGGATTTTTCCTCCATGAATGTGACTAGTTGCTTTTTGAACTCACATAAACAAATGGCGTCTACTATCCTGCAGCAAAGAATTTTAGAGCTTAGTCAGGTGTTGCATGAAGAAATCTCTCCCTTTGTTCTGAACTGGTGTCGCTGGCTCATTTTCATTTTATGCCCTTTATTCTTGCATTAGAGCAGACAGTGACTATCTGTCCCCTATTTACTGTCTCCAGTCATGACTGTTTCAATCTGTCGTATTGTCCCCCAGACATCTTTTTTCCACGCAGAAGAGTTCTAATCTGCCTAGTGCTTCCACACACTGAGCTGTTCCATAGCTTTGAACATGCTGAATACAATATATCATAGAATCATAGAATGGTGAGAGTTGGGAGGGACCTCAAAGATCATCTAGTTCCAACCCCCCTGCCATGGGCAGGGAACCCCTCCACTACACCAGGTTGCCCAAAGCCTCATCCAACCTGGCCTTGAACTCTGTCAGGGATGGGGCATCTACAACTTCTCTGGGCAACCTGTTCCAGTGCCTCATCACCCTCAGAGTGAAGAATTTCTTCCTTCTAGCTAATTGAAATCTCCCCTCTTTCAGTTTAAATCCATTGCCCCTGGTCCTATCACTACACGCCCTTGTAAAAAGTCCCTCTCCAGCTTTCCTGTAGGCCCCCTTTAAGTACTGGAAGGCTGCTATAAGATCCCCCCGGAGCCTTCTCTTCTCCAGGCTGAACAGCCCCAACTCTCTCAGCCTGTCCTCATAGGAGAGGTGCTCCAGCCCTCGGATCATCTTCGTGGCCCTCCTCTGGACCCGCTCCAGCAGCTCCATGTCCTTCTTGTGCTGGGGACTCCAGAACTGAACACAGAATTCCAGGTGGGGTCTCACGAGAGCAGAGTAGAGGGGGAGAATCACCTCCCTCGACCTGCTGGCCACGCTCCTTTTGTTACAGCCCAGGATACGGTTGGCTTTCTGGGCTGCCAGTGCACATTGACAGCTCATGTCGAGCTTCTCATCCACCAGCACTCCCAAGTCCTTTTCCTTAGGGCTGCTCTCAATCCATTCTCCACCCAGCCTGTGCTTGGGATTGCCCCGATCCACGTGCAGGACCTTGCACTTGGTCTTGTTGAACTTCATGAGGTTCTCACAGGCCCACCTCTCCAGCCTGTCAAGATCCCTCTGGATGGCATCCCTTGCTTTCCTGATATTCCAAGAAAGCTCCTAGGCCTAACTGGGCACAACCTCTGGTGCTTTTTGTCCCTAATTTACAACGCTGTGAAAATAAAATGTCCTTTCGAGTCTGGGCTATTCATACTATCACAGTCACAACAATAAAAGAGAATACTACTCACGATTACAGTCAGTTTCACTACATCTAGACTCTAACAATGGTTGTGCAAAAAGATAAGCTCTTGTCCCTGGAAAAACACATTTCTTTAACTGATGGTGGTAGGTCCCATCCAAAATGTCTTAAAAGTTTTCTTGCAACATGTCAAATCGGCAGACTTGAGAAGATACTGACTTTTTTGTAGGATGGCAAGCAAAGTCTTTCCTTCAGATAGTCTTCTTCCTCCATTAACACAAAATCAGAAAATATGAAATCAGAACTCCGTTCTGATTTCAGAAGACAAATCCAAAAATATCCAATATAGGTATACTCTATTTTTGGGTGTCCAAACTCTGAGATAATCTCATTAGTGAAGACTGTTGCTAAGCAGAACTAGAAAAGTGGCTCACATAATATAAAATCACTAAAAATTGGTAGTATAAATAAGAGTCACCCTTATGCTCTATCCTGCATATCTTTTGCCTCACTCAAGTGTGGTTTAGATTAAATTGTCTACTCTGTCTTGCTTTAAAGGACATTTTACACCAAAAATAAGAAACTATCACCATCCTGGAGGACCAGTACTGCAGATAGTTGCAAGATGTTTTCCTGCCTTGCTGTGGAAATGATGTAACGTCATCAAAGTTGTTGCATGACAGAAGAAAACAGAAATCTTTTCGGTAGTCCGTACTCTCTTCTTAAAAATTAACATATAGAGTAAATTTTGGTTTATTGCTCCTAACTTAAGATCATTACGCAAACTTATAACATGTAGTCCAACCATTAGCACAGTTTAGAGAGATCAACAGGAAAACTCAATTATGAAGTTAACTACTTATCTGTGGGAAGCAGAGAGCCCAGTTTTCTTCCACTTCATAGATGGTTCTAATTTCTTCTCGGCAATGGATCTCCTTGCTGCAGAACTTTTTACTTTCTCACATACATTCTCTTCTGTAAAATCATAAAGGTCCTGGGACTGGCCAGAGACCTTAGCATCAACTACTTCCATACGCTGACAATTCTTCTCATATGTTGGTTCTTTAAAAAAAGTATATTCCTAGTAAAAGGAGGAGACATGGTTTGTCAGTCATATTGCTATACGAATAATGCAAATTAAAACAATAAGCTGTAAGCACAATTCCTGGATGCTTAAAAATTGTATGTATTAAATGTAGAATTAGATTATGAGCATAAAATCAGACTGCCTTTAAAAGAATGAAACATTAATCTGGAAAGTAGCTGTTACCGTGTGCAAATTAAATGTTTTGAAATAAATGAACTAGCTAAATTTGGAACTTCCTGAACATACTTGAATATTGGATGTTGTCCAATTTCTAATATGTTAACAGTTTATGACACAAGCACGTTTATAGAACCTAATTCCAAATGTCTTAAGATCTAGAATTGCAAAGTCATTCTGCTTTCAATGGACAATTTATATAAAAACTATTTCCCTGCATAAAGGATTTACAAAAAGTTCCCACAAAAAATAATGGACATAAACCTGAAAATAGGCTATGATAAACTGCTAGACTTCGGTTCCAAGTAATTTAATTTGATATAGTTTAGAATTAATATAAACACATTCCATTTCATTTTTTTCATCTTCTGTCCCTCAGGACAAAACATTGTTGAACAAGTGACATACAAGAATGGAGCTGAGTGGCACCTACCAATCCTTCAGCTGTCTGCGTCTAGCACCATGGCTGATCAAAAATATCCAGAAGAGAAAGGACTTTTGTCAACTCTTACTCTCTATTGGAACATATTCAATTTTTGCAGGAAGGACAGCATATGATCATTACTTTTTCTTATTATTGCAGCTGTCACTACCAGATAGGTGAAGACATTCCTTCATGTATCTGATTCAAGGCAGTTTCAAGGATATGTCACAGTAGGGTTTGTTTCGACTAGTCCCTGATGTGAATCGGCTGTTCCAGTCTTGGTGATCCAACTGTCTAATCATAAACTAACTGATGCTAATTCTCTCATTCTGAAAATGTACTCTAGACAAGACAATTTAACACATGACGAACTAGACAAATCACAGGGGAATTGATGCTGCAGTTTGACCAGCTAAGCACATGTTAAAAACCATGTTTCCTACAGCACTACATGCCAACAAGGCAATTCTAAATGTTAGCTTAAACAAGGCCAAGAAGACATTACAAAAATTAATTGGTTTTGCAATATATGTGTATGTAATGAGCTTTTTGAAGCTCTCCTCTTCTCAGAAAATAAATCAAAACTATTTCCAGTCATAATTTACTTCATGGAGGCAACCTTGAAAATACAGCTTTTCTCTGCTTTTCAGAGTTCAAGAATAGAGAAAATTTTCCCTCAAATACAAATACTCTGCAGCTCTACAATATTAACTTATTTAAATTTTAGTTCTAGAATGTAGAATGTACTAAACCAGCTCTTCAACAAGGCAATGTGATAAGATATTCCTAAACCATTAAAATGGTATGATTTATACTCTTCAGTATAAACTTATTTACACAGTTAGAGAATACTAAGAATTTATATCACAATTGAAGGAAAATAGGATACATTCTATTTATTTAGTCTTATTTACTAAGTGTACACATTTCTTGAACAGCTACAGTATCTTTAGAAGAGCAGAAAATCAGTAAAGAAAGGTATATTATCTCTATTATCAATATTAACATTAATCTATATTAACATTTAGGAATAGAACTGTAAAAAGTTATTAAAATATTACCATATTTTACCTTTCATCACCATGAAATGAAGCCAAATCACTCTGAAAATATGTTAAACCAGTAACTATGTCTAAAAACATTAATGTATTGTCATATGTCTGAAATGTAAACCAATATGTAGATATGACATTAAAAAAACACTTGCCTATGGGATAAATACAACACATTTTGGCACTTACTGCACTTCAAACAGAACAACTTACAAATTTAATTCCATAACTGTTAATATAAGCTACTATATTCATGCATACAACTTGAAATGCTCTATTCTTTCAAAACCGTCAAAAACTTATATCTTAAAAAAAATAAGTATCAGCCCCACATCCCAGAAAAGCAGATCTAAAGGATAAGAAAATTTCCCTGTTAATGACTTCCTTCTTGCAATAATTAAAATTGGATATAAATAACCACAATAAAACTTTTGACAGGTTTTAGCCTCTAATGAATTTTACCACCAAGTTATTAATCTGCTATAACCACACTAGAAATCTGAAAAAAAGAGTTTTATCAAGAATAATGAAACAACTAAAATTGTAGTGGCATTGTGCGATTCTAGTTAATATAGGGCTCTAAATAAAAGCTGAAACACTTGTATTTTACAGTGGCTGAAGCAACAAATAGTGTGTAAGACAGATGCTTAACTCTCAGCTCTGATATTTAAATCAGGCGGTTCTCATAAAACAGTTGGGCTATTATTAATATTTGGGTTACAAAGAATGATTACAATTTAAGTGGTTTGCATCACAGAAAAATATTGTCACAAAAAGTTGAGCTTTTCCATAAGAATATCATATTTTCCTGTTTAGCTTTTCCAGTGCTCCATAAAGAATAACACCAGCAGAAAAGCAAAACTGTTTATGCAAAATTAGAAGCCAACCTCATATGTTGGATTGAACCTCATAATAAGATATGATAGAAAAGATATGAAACAGTGTATTATTTGCTATTTACAAAAGGAATATATTTAGTAGAAACTGAAACAAATCCAAAGAAAAATAATAAATGCATTTTAGAGTCTTAAAAAATCTTCATTTAATCACAGACTTAGCTTTGATAAAGAACAGAAATGTTCAATGAGGTTTATAAAGTAATTCTTACCGATATACAATGTATGCTTGTACAAAGTAGAATACACACCCAATAGCAGTAAATACATACCTGTTTAGCCATATTTTCTACAAATCTAGGTGATCTCTCCCTTAAAAGTGTGACAATATCTCTATATACATCACTTTTTCTGTCATAGTCAATGTCATCTTTATCCTTTATCTGACCCTTAAAAAAAGAATAAATTGAAAATTATTCACAGTATGGCCTTACACAGGTAATTTAATCTGCATCATAAAATAGTGCTAAAGAGCACAGAGGTCATACTGTAATGAATTAGGTACAGAAGTCTCATGCTCAGCAGAGTCCATCAGACTTCAGTCATGCTTTGTAAAGATGCATGGATCATGGCCATGGATCCCAACAGATTAGGATCTTACGTAGAATTCTGCAAGTAATTACTATCAGTTAATTGTACTGTGTGTAGTTCCACCAAAAAGAATTTACGGCTTATGGCAAACAACCATGTAAATATGAGCTTCCAGTGCAGTATGGCAGATGTCTAAAAGGATCAGAAAATAACGTGACCTGACTAGCCTAAGCTCTATGAGCTTCATCCATTAAAAATGTGATGTCAAAATTTCTCTGCATTTTTTAACTCTTAGGAGATTTGTGGAGTTTGCGGAGTTACGCCTGAGGACATTAGTCTCTCTTCAAAAAGAATGTAAGAGCTCTGGTCACTGCTTAACACATGTAAGGGACTACTATGCCTAAATAAAAACTACCTGTAAGGAAAGAATGAAGTGAAAATTAGAAGAAAATAGTTAAATAATTTCTAAAAAGCTTCCACTGAAAGGAGAAAAAACTTCTTATCATTTATAAAAAGACAAAAGCAAGCTAAATTAGCCACACACAATAATATTACACCTCAGATCAAGAGCAATGAGGGCCTAGAAAGGCATCTAGTCCCACAGTACCTTTAAACAGGAGCAGTGTGAAGGGCTGTTAGGACACGTTTAAAGACTAAACAAACACTGCTAGCTAAAAGTACAGAATACACTCCTAGCATAAAACTTATAGAAAAAGCACTCAAAACATATGGGAAAACTAGCATATATTTATTACTGTGTCTTCTCCTTCTGTACTAATAAACTAGCTCTGCAGGTCTTACAGCCTCAACACCATTAACCTAAACCTGACTGGTTTGTGATTTTAGCACATAAAAATATTCATTATTCCATTGTATCCTTTATTATTACTTACTCCATTTAAAAACACTCCTGCTGTGCTGCAAGTTATAGACAAAGGATCAGTGTCATGTGGTTTGATGAATAAATAGCAAATTTCTCCATGTACTTGTCTCCAGGGAGGAGCTCGGCATCCATTAGAGAACAGGTAATCTGTAACCAATTAGCATTAGCATTTTTATCCAGTTTAAAAGTATTTTCTAATAGTTACGCTTGATGATTAACATAACATGTATACAAATCAAATTCCCAAAACAATACCTCACTCTTAAGAATTCACAGAGTTAGGAATTAATCATGCAAAGCTCTTGCAACCCATGGCCCAATCCAACTAAGAACTGCAACTGTGCTTAGCACTTTTCAGGATCAGGGACTCAGTTCACTTCCTCTACTTCCACTGAAGACATTCATATAATCAGAGATTATTTCTGTAAGTAAAGGCTGAAGAACAGCATTCCACATCCGAAAATACTTTTTATTTTACTCTATAAATTTAAACTAGAAATAAGCACTTCAAATTTATTACTGATATTAATTTAGCAAATTTCACACAGAATTGAAGTACTTTAATAAGGGTATATATAAATGTGATACATGATCAGATCTGGACCTGATGTATATTCCACTGATTCCAGTACTGTATCTTCTCCTTTCCCAGAGAAACTCTTGAGAAGATTCACTTCATTATTTATAGCAGCTGGATTTAGTCTTATGTCTCTGCAATTAATAGAAAATGATCTAAAATGCATTCATCAGAAGGATGTACTCAGAGAAATTAAAAGAGAATATTACATGATTTTTTTTTCTTTTACATTGAGTCTTAATAGCAGCAACAAAAATCTGGAAATGGGATATTTTCCATTGTTTTTCTTAATTTTATCTGTTAGTTTAGTGAAATTTCAGTTTCACAGCTAATATGAAGTCTTTGTAACTACGAAACAGACTCAACGTAATACTTAATATGCTTTCATGAAGAAACAAACATTTCCTTGAAAATATTTTACTTTAACTTTGTTGTTTGTACAAATGACTTCAATTTGCTACCAAAACGCAAAACATATGCAATAAAAAACCACACTCGCAGGCACACACTTGCATAGCCACACCTACAGCAAAATCTTCAGGAAAAAAAAAATGTTTTTTCAATAACTTAGTGAACAGTGAAAGTTATTTCAATAAATTTCTTTATGTCACACCAAGAGCACATGTTGTGGGTTGAAACCAATCCGATTTAACAATAAAACAAAAAAACGCACTGGCTGACATGCTCAGCTCCCATTTGAAATGCACTTACTGTGAAATCTGTTTCAAAGAACTATTAAGCAGTTGCAAATCCAGCTGATGAAGAAGAAGAAAGATTTTCACTTTCACCTCTGTTTCAGGATCATCAACTTTTTTCAATTTATCAAGTAAATGCAACATGGACATATCTTCTCCTTCAACAGTCCCATATTCAGGACCAAGAATTTTCACTATAGGATCTCTGTTAGCTGTAAATATGAAACAGAATCATATAATGTAATACTGTGTTAAAAATTGTTAGGCAAGACAAACACTTTTTATCTCAATTGCTGAATAATTTTGATACTATTAATTGACATTAAGAACTTTAGTAATGTGCACAGTTATTAATCAAATATTACTGTATGATGTACTCTTTCATATCCGTCTTACAATTTGAAATGCACTTTTAAACACATGAAAACATTAAGATCAAAACCAGACTTTTCATAACAAACAAAATTGCTTTTCACAACAAAGACTAAGATTCATTCCAATAAGAGTTGAATATTAAATACTTCCTTTTATCAAGAGCCCCCTTTCCAGAAAATATGCCTGGCTGACCACCAAAACAGGAAATCAATGGGTTTAACTCACTGAAAACTGATCATTTTGGAAATATGATTCAGTGTTAAACATCTTTAAAGTTTTCTAGCAGCATTCCCAATGGCACCATTACTTCCCCTGCTATGCCAGCTGTTCTTTTTGGTAAACAATGACATAACTGCATGTCAATGGGTTTTACAAAAACATTTTGCCCTGTTCCTGAAAATGAAGTCCCATGCATCTGTGAATGTCTCTGCATGATACTCTGTCCATATTATTCTTTCCTATTATTCATGGTTGATCCCTATCAGTGACAGGACCCTGGATTAGAGGGCTCTGAACTTTGAGCCAGTACGACCATTTATATTTTAGTATTGCAGATGCAATTTCAACAATATTACCAAAACATATTACTGATCTCTTTTACCTCCAATGAGAGGAGGATATCCAGTTTAGCACATTAAGGGTCTTCCTTGTCAGTTTGAAAATCTAGGACTTGAAGATGACACAGTAAAAGTAATCGTACCTATATTCTAAAAGCCATTGTGAGAAGGATCTGGAAGTGCTCACTGTGAACTCTGTGCAGGTAAGAATGTCTTAAGCTTATAAGCTCTTCTTTGGCTATTAAACTACAAACATACAAAATATGGGTATTAGCCTCCAATAAGACATTCATTTTCAGAAATTTTAACCTACTGTCTGTTGCAATTGCTGGGGTATTACTCAGTATAGAAGACATAATTTTTAAGAGAGAGGAAAGACGAAAAAAAAAGAAGAAAGGAAACCTTCAAGGCAGGCCTGTGCTTCCTTTAACCTTCTTTCCATAGCAATTTGTAGGAAACGGGATAGCTGGTCAAAACTGCGAACTCTGATAGTTGATGCCGTGAAGAGAAGCAATGGTTGGCCATCTTTACCTTTGGCTTCAGACTGAACAGTTGCTTCACTAGAAAAATTAAATTATTTCTCTTTAAAATAAGAACTTCAATAAACAACAAATCTTAGAGAAGAATCTTAAACGTTATTCAAGTTCTACATGATAAAGCATATAGAATTTCTTTAAACTGTATGCCAGAAAACTTCTCAGGTAAACCAATTTATTCACTGCAGATCAGCAGGTGGATGTGCCTGAAGGAGGCTGTGACCCTGTGGAGAGCCCACGCTGAAGCAGGCTGCTGGCAAGACCTGCGAACCCATGGAGAGAGGAGCCCATGCCGGAGTAGGTTCACTGGCAGGACTGGTGACCCTGGGGAGGACCCACACTGGAGCAGTCTGTTCCTGAAGGACTGCATCCTACGGAAAGGACCCACACTGGAGAAATTTGTGGAGGACTGTCTTTTGTGGGAGCAATCCCATGCTAGAGCAGGGGGAGAGTGTGAGGAGGAAGGAGCATCAAAAACAACACGTAATGAACTGACCGCAACCCTCATTCCCTGTCCCCTTGTGCCACTGTGGGGGAGGAGATCAAATCAGGAGTGAAGTTGAGCTCAGGAAGAAGGGAGGGGTGGGGGAGGATGTTTTAAGATTTGTTTTATTTCTCATTAATCTACTCTGACTTTTTATTGGAAATAAATAAAATTAATTTCCGTTAGTCAAATCTGGTTTGCCTGTGATGGTACTAGGTGAGTGATATCCCTGTCATTATCTTGACCCATGAGCCTTTTGTTGTATTTTTCTCCTCCTGTCCAGTTGAGGAAGGGGAGTGACAGAGTGGCTTTGGTGGGCACCTGGCAGCCAGCCAAGGTCAACCCACCACACGGGAGCCACTCCTAACACTAAGAGAAGTCACAGGGTCAATCACTGTTAGATGCATGTTGTAAAAAGTCTTAGGAATAGGCAGTGCAAGTTGTATAAATCATTAACTAAACAGGTCTGTATCACAACCAAGATAGAATAGTCTCAAACTACACCCATTTCAGCCTCCCAAACACTCTGAGGCTTTATTTATGCTAAATGAGCACAGTTTTGCTTCATAGTTCACCTTCAACATTTCAAAACATACCGCAATTCAGACTTACTTGATCTCATAATCCTCTCCAAATACTGAACAGCCCAACTGCGTTTTCCATTCAAGGGGCTCTCTGAAGACAAATGCCGCTTCCTGAGGATGTCTAGTGCTGAAGTCCTCCACAAACTTGATAATTTGATTTAAAAGAGATTCGTTCAAAGGGGTGATTTCGAGCGTGCCAGTTCCAGAACCAGCAGCCGTCCACTGAGCTGCTCTTGCCAGTGCTGCTCCCATGGTCTCAAGTAGTATCAAAGATGAACACCTTAGGAAACGACCAAACCGAGTGCTCAAATGACAAATGCAATATGCTGTGGATGCTATAATTTGAAATAAACATAGCTCTGAATTATTAGATTCTTTCAACTTGTTTAAATTCCCTAAGTGGGGAAGGAAGAATACAAGAAGACAACTCACAAGTATTTTCAAAGAAATACGGAAATCTGGTGAAAACACAGTTTTTTTCATCTTGATTAATGAATTCCTGGTGCTATTAGAATGTCACGGCGCTGACAGCAGGTGGCTTCTGTTACAGATGTAACAAGAGGCTCTCAGGTTCTCCTCGTGA